AACCAACAGTGAAATTACAGTTGAAAGAAATGAAGACACAAGTCCAAAAAGAGGGAGAACTAAATGTAATATTGATCGCGCTAAACCTCGTAAATCACCACATCGACCTTTGCCAGGAATTGTTACTGCTGTTCTTACTAGAAGTTCATCTGAAAGTGATGTCAGTGAAAGTCTTGGAAAGCAAATGATAGAGGAGAACATAGAGATATCATTTGAGAATCTTCAAGAGTTTTACGATACAGTACCACAGGAGATGAAAGATAAAAAGAGGTCAAAAGATAACAGTAAATGTGGCAGGAAGCAGCAAAAGAAGAAAGCTGAGAAAGGTATAGGAATTTTATTTTTGCATATTGTGTTTCATAATGTAATTATAGTTGGATTAAATATCGTGACATGTTCCTTTTCAATGCTCCTGCAGATCTGTACAGTGCATCAGTTATGGCTCTTCGACGAAAACTTTGGGCTGCATGTCGCCTTGGAGATACAGATTTGTTGATCAACTCCCTTCAGACTGTCCAACCAATAGAAGAGGAGCCAGAAAATTGTGAAACTGAGACAGTTAAAATAAATGATAATTCTGAAGCATCTAAGTATGCAAATAGAAACACTAGTATATCAAAGGTAGAATATCTGAGCTGTCTTAATGAAAATGTTGGTGAGAATAAAGAGACACTTCTGCATGTCGCTGCCCAAGGTGGACACATGGACATTATTAGGTATAAATGAATATCTTATCATTAATTTAAACTCTTACTTACTTTTCTGTAGTTGTGTGACAGGTATCTTAACAGGCTAATGCTATGAAGCACTTGTACAAGAATAATTTAGTAAAGCTGTTGTACTAACTAGAAGTTCACAAATGTACTATGCTAAACGTTCCATACCATTATGCTGTTGACAGTTTCTAGTGTAAAGCGAATAAAAGAAATTCTATAACATCAAATATTATGTTGTATTTGACAGTAAATACAAAAGCCAAATGCATTAATGTGTTTTAACATATTCATCAATTTACTGATTTGTTTTCAGAATGATATATAATATATAACATAATCTGTTGAAATTAATATTTGAAAGTACTGTTGATTTAATTAGTGCTAGCAATTTTTATTTGAAATCAAGAGTACTCATTGAACTGTCCCTTGGCACAATGAGGCTTAAAAAAGACTGACTGCAGTATTTTGAATTTTGACTACTTTTATTGTAAATGTTAAGAAATTGAGACAGCATTATGTAGTTCTGTCCCCCCTACCCCTTACTCTCCACCACTACACATTCTGAAACACCACATACCTTATCATTGATGAGTTCACGTAATTTTTTACTTTCAGGGCTCTAATGGAAGCTGGTTGTGATCCCTGTGTCAAGAACAAAAAGTTACAGACTCCGTATGTAGTCTCTGCAAACAAAGAAACACGCAACATTTTTAGGAGATTTTTGGCTGATTTTCCAGATAAATTTGATTATTCTAAGGTATAAATCATATTGATATCTGTAATAAAATAATTCTTCAATTTTCTCTCCAGAATAAAATAAAACTTAGATATATCAACATTTGGTTTTCGTTTATAGAATTATTATATGAGTCTATACTTAATCATATTTATAATTTCAGTCCCAAATTGGGGGGCCATTAACAGATGACATGGAGCAAAAAATGGTAGAGAAACGACGTGAACAGCGAAAGGTCAAACGGGAAAGAGAAAAGGAAAGAAAGAAGGAGGAGGAGGAAAAAAGAGAAGAGGAGGCTGAGAAAGAAAGATTTCTCCAGCTCAGTGACCGAGAAAAGGTGGACTTTAAGAGCACAATTCAAGCTTTCTGTAGTGCTTAGTTTTATAACTTTCATAAGGCAAGGCCTTGCCATAGTTAGTCACCAGCTCCTCACCATGGAGGCCCAGGTTCCTTCTGAGAGCAGTCCATATGGGATTTGCAGTGGACAGAGTGGCACTGTGACAGGTTTACCTTTGAGTCCTCCAGTATTAACTTGGCTAGGAATTAAAGACTTGTTCTTTCTTTTGCAGAGGGCCCTTGCTGCTGAACGGAGGTTTCTGTCACAGATAGCTGATGGTAAAGTGAAGCCAGTTGTATCTAGATGTTTTCAGTGTGCTGCAGACATTACAGGCAAAGTCCCATTTGAATATGACATTCACAGGTTTTGTAGTATAGATTGTTTAAAACAGCACAGACTCAAAATGAAAAACATGCAACAGAAATAACATACAGAAAAAAGTACATTGTTTTACATCAGCAGTTGTGAACTGGGGCATATTTCCCCAGGATTTATGTGAAGCCTCATAAGGGTGTACATGATAAATACTTCATACATTGTTAAACATTGAGAAAATAAAGTTTAAAATTTAGAAGTCTTTGTTGAGTATCTTGCTTTATAATACATAATGGCACATAGTTTGAGGTAAAAAATGGGTATGTGAAGTCTCACTATGGTATGTCAATTAAGAAAGGTTCAGAAATGTTGCATTAGACAATTTGAGAAAAAGAACACTGAATAATTGTTGTAAGTAAACAAAGACAGAATCTGTACTTGAAGCTTTCACAGTGACTAAACTCAATAAAATCTTTCCTCTCATAAATTCTAAACAAAGAACTAAGGACAAATATTACATTACCATAATTGCTAAGTAAGTGGCAAAGGACAAAACAGAAAGAGCAAAATGATATTGTTATATGTATATACAATTTATTTTTATTATAATTTTTTTCTTTGTCTTGCTTGTTCAGTGAGGGTTTTTTTTTTCCTTTTTACAATTTTGGCATTAATGCATCACATTTTTACAGGTTTTTATTTCAGTTTATTTTGTATTTGTTGTTTGCCCATTTATGAAAATATGTGCATTTTAATATAGAGTGAATCATGTCTGTGAGCCAGGCAAGATTTTGCTTGTTTTTGAAGTTTGAGAATCAAAACTTGTTACTTTATTGTAAGCCTAGAATTTAAACTCAATACAAAACTGTGGTCAGTAGGAAAACTCACTTCATCTGATTCATTGCACATTTAATTTCTTATGTATTTCAAGTAAAGGGAAAGAATATCCAAAATGATGTGAAGAATTTATGCATTGAAATTATCTAAAATAATATTCAGACATAATTTTAGTAAATAGCGATCTGGAATAATATATAACCTGTTTATACTCCACCTCATTTATTTATGTATTTACTCTCATCTCCTTTTCATCCCTTTCCTATACATTTTGTTGAGACACTTAGCCACATATTTAGTATAATATAAATTCATTAACTTAGGTTTATTTATTACCTTTTGAAAGTAGGCATATTGGTAATGTTATAGTGAGTACAAAAGCAATGGGTAGCTGAGCTGTGAGAACAAGCTTATTGCTTCTGTTATACAGTTTGAACAATCTTATGACATGTTTCAATGTACTACTAGAAAATATCGTTATAGTTAAAATGGTTATAGTACTTTAAATTCTAAATATTCCCCTGCATACAGAAAATGAAGTGGAATGAATGATTCTTTAAAGAACAACTATCACCTAAAAAGAATTATCTTTCAGGATGAAGGAGATTTTAGAAGAAATACCATAGTACCACATATCAATTATTCATGCAGGATATCAATGAAATTTGATATTGTGGTTCACAAAATTCTCAGTTCAGCTTTTATTGAACTACTCCAGTTAACAAAGAAATCATGAATGAACATGAGGCTTTTTTGTCTTGTCTTGCACACTTAATTTCTCACAGATACTTCTATTCTGTTGCTTAATCACTGATTACTGGCATTAATTTCTGTTTCAGTTATTATACAATGACAGGCAGACACATTTCTGAAATATTCCACATATTGTCACACACCATTAAGCACTACATAGCAAGCTGACTGACTACAAACAAATTAAAGGAGGAAGGTGAATGAACATACTCCCAGCCTAATACATGGCAATGTGAGGGAATAAAAAACATTCTGTATGTTTCTGGTTTCGATAATACATGTAAAGGAGTTTGCTTAGGGATAATAATGCAATTCACATTGCTTGTATTTTTTAACATACCAATCTAAAATCAAATGTACACAAAAATTACAACAGTACCAAAGACTTAATTCTGATAACAGAAGTCAAGAGACCTACAGTATGGTTGATTTATAAGTGTTTGTGGGATGGAGGAGTTCAAAATCTGAGAATGTTTTAATGTTTGTAGTTGGGTGTTTTACTGCACAAAAATATTGGGTGTTGGTTCTACAACAAAATTCACTGTATAAAAATTAGTAAGAAATTAACATTATGATTTTTGAAGAATCGCCATTGTTTATTTTAAACTTCTGCAAAACTGTTAATATTGTATCAAGAGTGTACCTCTACAGAATTCAAAGTTAGATGTTTCAGTTGAACTCTTCAGTAGAAAGAAAGTAAATATGACAGAACATTTGAATAGATTTCATATAACACAACGTGATTGTCTATGTACAGAAAAATACAAATTTTGGCAGTTTTATAGCTAGTTGCAATTAAATGATAGCATTATTGGTGCATTTCTTATTAATACATATTACATTAATATTTCACATATTTATTGCTGAACTAACTGTTGTGTAGTGTGAAATGTACAAGACAATTCAGTTTTGCGGTTCATATATTGTATTTCCTTAGGCTACCCAGCTACCTTGACTTTCTCTTTATGCATCCTTTAAAGATTACTCGTTCTATTGCCTTGCAGAATTATTTATTGTCTCAAAATTGTCTCTTCAGACAATCATGTTCCAGTTTTAGCTAGTCTCCATTGTGTTTATAGTAGAAAGTGTACTTTAACAATACAGCTTTTAGTATATTTACCCAACATTAAGTGAAGCATCTGTGAAATTTATCTTTGAAAAACATTGCTGCCAGATTCTCTTGAGATGCCACCACATTGGTTCTCTGCTTGTTTGGAAGAGCCATCATGACTAAAACCTTTTAAAACAAAAAGTTCAGCTGTTACTTTCCCATTCATTTATTCAGTTGAGAATAACCCACATATTTCACTTCTAAAATATATGGTCATTGAATTTAATGCAGTACCTCTACTGGTGATACATACATTATTCTTTGGATGCTTCCTAAACAAATATTACACCCAAGAGCTTTAATGTGAATTAAATTCCCACTGATATTCCCATACAGTATCCCAACCCTAGTCTCAACCACAAGTCTCATAGTTATTTACAATTAAATATTAAATTACATCATAAAAGAATAAGATGAAAGTAAACAAGTATCAGATCTTGTAACATACCTCTCTTCATAATGATCCCACCCTAAGAGAAATCATTTGATACCACATTCTGTACTGGCTTCATAGATTTGTTCCTTTATGCTTTATATGACAACACTGTCAATCGTTCAAATTATTTAGCATTGAATGTTAGCATGATGGTGAATAATGAATTGCAAATTATGTTGAAAGATGCAGCCATTACATAATTTTAAGTTATTATCCCACCATGTGCTGAGAGGGACTAAGGAAAACTACGGAAAACTTTGATCAGTGTTGCTGGAGTCCAGGTTGAAATTTGAACCTGGATCTCCCAAATATGAAGCATTCGACTATTCAATTGATTTGTAGATTTACCTTAGGAGAGGTGAAAGAGTAGATATACTACTTCATCATGACATTTTCTTTCCTTCTTCCCTTGCATTTTACTTTATACTCTTCATTTTTATCCTTCCTTTTTAGCGACAGCCTTCAGCATCCTTGATTTTGATTGAGTTCTGGAACTTTTCAGAGGACAGGTATTCTCTCTGTTTTGTATGCTCCTTAGATTGGTTTTGTGTAGCATGTTTTGACTTCAAATGTGGCTGGCCATCTGGTTATGTGTCATCTGAGCTATCATCAAGAACAGTTTATCTTTGTAGGATTTGAGGTTTTCACAGTGGTGAGTCTGAAGGTGGCCATCTTATCTTTGTTTCAATAACCTATGTTAAGTGTTACAAAACTTGCTCATTTACATATCTTTACATATCTCTTTGTAAATATGTGCATATATATACAAGTACATATTATTTACACACATAATTAATATAGTAAACATAAACATGGTATTAATATTCTAAAATATGTCTTCCTTTATTTGTATTTAAGAACAAATATTCCAAATATCTACACAAAATGGTTCAGTAGCGGTGTCACATTCAATCCGCATGTAAGATGTACATGTATTAAAATACCACAGCATCTACAGTATTCTGCAGATTGCCATGCTTGTTCATGTGTGCACAGTGAACATTACTCATAATCAAGATGTGTGAGACTGTTTATCAGTTTTCAAAATAATTCAGGATCAGAGTGCCCATGGTTGAGTGGTAGGGGGCTGTGTTCTTTGCAGTGTGATATCATGTTTATTTATTTCAGGTTTTACATACAGTGCAGTATATCTGACTCTCCAAATACTTCAAACTGGTCCAAGAAATGGTGTTGATTAGGACTGGATTTGTCTTTAGTCTCATTATCAAAATGATGGCTGTTTTCCCACATTCTACATTACATTATTATCAGACAAGTTTCAGATTGGCAACATTTTATATACATTTAAGAATAAGCATCTTTAATTAACAACATTTATCTGAATGTCACAGTGTAGTGGCTGACACTCATAATTTAGATTTTGAAAGTACCCAATTTGAATATTTAGCAGGAGATTGGTTAGACTGACATAATTTTTGGGAGTTCCTCAATTGCTGCAGGCATATGCTGGGAACATGCAAGTTAAAATGGGCAATAACCATTTTTACATGCATCCTTCCCAGCCTATCATTAGTAATCATCATATCATTTGTCAATGCACAACTAATGTAGATGACAGTACCATTCAAGAAGAATGACATGCTGCAAAATGTTAAGCTATTAATTGGTTATTTTAAGCATTTCTTATTTGGACCTTTGACCTGCTACAGTAACATGTTTTGTGAATAAACGAAATGCTAGTTAAAAAGGTATGAGTGACACAGCTACTGTGATATATTTAGTGTATTTCAGTTGGTACATAAAAAAACAGTATTTACAAGAATGAAGTGTTCATTAACATGTCTTGGACATGGTAATTAATATTAGTTCTGGACCTTTCTGTTCATTTTATTTGACTCTGAGTAAAGAAGATCAGCTGAATATGACTGACTGCCTTTGAACTCTGAAACAAAGGTATCCTTCAACAGAAACATGACAAATAGACCAACTAAGTTTTCTTAGCCCAACTTCTTATGATCACATTGGAGTTGATATGTCAGGCTGCTGAGTGCACCCTGAAGATGGTTATTGCGTGATTGGTGATAACAAAAGAGTCCGTAATGTATTTAACTATTCTGGCATTCTCTTTTGAGGAACTGGCATTAGAAGTGACATGTCTTGAAACTGTCCAGAATGTTCTGGCTTCGAAACTTGGAATATGGAATTTTAGTTATATAATTATTTAAATTATGACATCTTATATTCCTCTCTCTTAATCTTGCCCAATTATCTGCAGAAAGTCTGGTGCCTTCTCTATATGGATAAAGTCTTCTTCACATGAAGATATGAAGCTGTCTTCTTTTCCAAGAAGCCAGTAGGTGTTCATCATACCCTTCCCCTGGTCAGGAAAAATAATAATGAAACATAAATGTAGAAAAGCACGGACTTGTATTCTGATCATCATATATCTATTATGTAGTTTACCATTTATTACAGATATTCCACAATTTTTGATTTGTAGTTTGCAGATTTGGTCATACACAATTTCTTAGCTGCTCATACAGTATCAGGAACTAAATCATTTAAAACTGGCTGCAGTTCTCATTTACAACTAATAGATAGATTAAGAAATATATTTTTCTCTGTTCCTGTAAAGAATATAATGCTTACTACCGTGAATGTGATTCATACTTGGGAACAGAAATTTTACCTTTTCATATAACATTCCTTTACAGTGGGGAAATATTACAAGTACAAGAGATATTTGAAATATTTAAGCAACTCTGTTTAGTACCTTCACTTCCATTGGCTCTCTGCATTGTATATGATAACCACCCAAGAGATCCAAACTGTCTTTTGTCTTCTGTGATATATGTATGCGCATAGCTGCAAAGAGAATTGCACTATAAAATATCTCTGTTTTCTTGTGTATTTTATCTCTCAATATGCTTTTAATTTTTCATGAATGAAAACTAACTTGACATGGAATAAAACAACACTTGTGTAAAGAAGCTTGCTTATGGCACAGGTATTCTTTAAAGCAAGTGCAGGCAGTAATTTTTGTAGAAGATATTCATATATTTGTAAAACTATAAAACTTGGTCCCATACTCTCTGAAAAGAGCAAAGTCTTGCAAGTATTTGTAAGACAGTATTAAGAATCAAGAAGATTAAGTGATTAGGAATTGTACCAGCGAGGAATGATGTAATTTATACAGTTCTACCTCCATGGAGTCCTTCTTCAGAAGCTAATAATAACTTAAGAAATTCCCAGACTTTTATGGAACCCAAAGGTTCATAAGAGCCGCTTATTGGTCCCTGTTCTGAGCCAAATTAATCTGTCCAGATCATTTCAAAGATTTATTTTAATATTGTTCTTCCAACTATGCCTAGGTCTGCCAAGTGGTATCTTCCCTTCAGGTTTCCTGATCAAAATTTTGTATGTATTTCTGTCTCCTCCACATGTGCTGCATACTCCACAAGTCTAATTCTCCTTGGTTTGTATCATAAAGAAAAATATCAAAGTTATATTAGATGCTAATATGCAGGATGGTGTTGAAACAAATGCAGAGAGAGCTTTGCATGTGTTCATGTATCAATAACAGAATACAGACTAAAATCATAATATGAAGTAGCTAGTAATGCTTCTGAAAATGTAAGTCCCAGTATTTGAGAATGACAGTAACAAAAAAAACTGCATTTAAGAATTGAGATCACATCAGCTACCATGCCATTCAGAATCCTTTGTCTTCACAAAAATGTAAGTTATGTGTTATGTATGGATGTGAAACTTTGTCTTTCAAATTAAGAATTGAGGATGTCTGAAAACAGGGTGCTGAGGAGAATATTTGCAAAGAATGACTGTGCCATAATCAAGAAAATGAAGACAGTGACAAAATGCTGGAAAAAATTGCATAATGAGGAACTCTGTGATAGTGAGTATGGATGATAATGCACAAATGAGTCATTTAGCTAGGTGTTTAGTATAAAAAACTTATGAGTTAAAACCTTGCAGAAGGAGATTAGAATCAAGAAAGAAAATTAAGTTTGCTTAAAATTTGTATTTCTGTACTAAAAGTTAACATAAATAAAGCATTCAAAGAAATGTACATAAAATTAACAGTCCTACAAACTTTCTTCTTTCATAGTAACTACTCCAGCAATCTTGTGTCATAACACACCATCATTAACAAGACGATAATTATCATTTACATATTTGTTGGTGATCCTAGATAGAATTATTTTCTTCTGTAATTAGAAAGCTCAGATCCTTCTGAAGTTTTCACTAGCTTATGATATGTTATAGATTTACCTGTTTATTGGTAACCAAACTGTGTTAATGGTTGGCTAGTTTGCCACCATTTCAGATAAATTAGCTGTAGGTATCTGCAGGGCAACATGACTTATGACACACCAAGTCATCAAGAATCTGCAATGTGTTTGGAGTCGGTAAAAAGGAATGACTGTGGATGAACACATCAACAACTGGCACTGAATGACCCTTACCTTCTCCAGTTGACTCCATGCGAGATGCAGTGTTTATTGTGTCTCCAAACAGGCAGTAACGTGGCATTGTTGTACCAACAACACCAGCAACACAAGGTCCTGTGTTTATACCTATGCGAATCTGCAGTTTCTCACCAGGTCGATGAGGTATCACAAAATGACGAACACCATGCAGAAGGTCTAGAGACATAGTGGCAATTTCTCCAGAGTGGCGATTGCCTATAAATCAGTATATATCTTAAATTATCAGAAACAGGTTGAAATTACTGAAGTATAATTTATTTCTGCAAGTGCTTCAGGATATTATGCATTGAGCAAGGAACTCATTTTTCTGTTATTGGAAAACATCTGTGTAAATTTTTGCATTTAATAACTTAAACCTTTGGAACCGAAGCTAATCTAAATAATATTAAAAATTTAAGTTCCTACCCCAAAATATAATGTACCTTCATTAAAAGAATCAATTGGTTAATTCTTTTTATAGGGAAATGTAATTTATTCTGAGAATTGTAGGTAACCCATAAATACACTCTGTGGGCATAACACAGAATGTTAAGCAGATGGTGCATATAGTAAATACTGCTTTAGAAATGAACTAGTAATTAAAATCAAAATGCAACTAGGGACCATGATAGGTTGATTAGTAAGGACAGAACATTGACATTTTTTCTTTATTATGACAGAAACAGCATACAAACATGAGAATCTCTGGTGAATATTCTGGTCTGGTCAATAGTGAACTGCCAGGCTAAAATTGAAGGAATATAAAGTAAATGATATACTATGTAACATAACGTTGGCATAAGAATGATAATAACAGCATTGTTATTATTGCTGTTATTATCATGATTAAAAAATGATTGAAAATACCCTAGCATTGCTGTGTGATTTTTGGGGGTATTAATAATATTGCATTTTGGCATGACCTGAACTCCAGATTGGGATTTGTTTCTGATGGGAATTACTTTCTAGGGTTGAGTTGGCCTAAGTGTTTTACCTGCTTGGGATGTCTAATCCATGGCAAAATTGTGTAGTTGGTTGAATTATGGTGATAAGTACAACGAAATAAGCATTTGTACCTCTACTGGAATTTTAAACGGAGGTTGCACGGTTGAAATGTTTTCCAGTACAAATCGCTAATAAACAAAGGTATGTGGCTGGCTTCTCATTAGTCTAATTTATGTATGTTTATCATCTCAGGTTTCATTTAAAGACTCACCATTTCTTTGTGGAAGGCCTGATACAACCATGTATGCATCCCCAATAGTTTCCACTTTGTATACATCATATTTCTGGATGCGAAAGTCAAATAGGCGATACAAAGTATTGAGCATAGTAACAATCTGCATGGGAGAGCTGACAGCTGATAGTTCAGTGAAACAAACAATGTCACTGAAGTAAATGGTTACAGATTCAAAACTCTCTGCCGGAACCTTAAAGAATAAGCAAAGCATAACTTTACAAATATGATACATTTACGACTTACCACAAGTTTTGTATAGTTGAATTTTACCTATTTTTAGCACCTGATTCTAATCCAGATTGTATTTTTTACTCATTTCAATTTAATTAATTTAAATGTTAATCTCTTCATCTTCCAAATATGTTTCCACTTTAAGTGGGTCATCTGACTACCAGACATATCTTCCCACCATTCCTCCTTAATTTCTTCAAACAATTTAAATGTTAATCTCTTCATCTTCCAAATATGTTTCCACTTTAAGTGGGTCATCTGACTACCAGACATATCTTCCCACCATTCCTCCTTAATTTCTTCAAACAATTTAAATGTTAATCTCTTCATCTTCCAAATATGTTTCCACTTTAAGTGGGTCATCTGACTACCAGACATATCTTCCCACCATTCCTCCTTAATTTCTTCAAACAATTTAAATGTTAATGTCAATGTAAATTTAAAAATGTAGTCAAAATGAATGAGTGCCACTCTTCCCAAACACATATATCACACACAGTGAACATTTTACTTCCGTGAATCAGAAAACTGTGGGCATGTGTGATTATTTGTTATCAGTTTATTAAATCGGATCAATAAAATCTGGTTAAATGTTGCATACTAAAATAAAACTTCTGAGGTAATGGCCATAAAAGCCAACTTGGATCTGTGTATTGGTACTACTGTGAAATGTGTCTGACGTAAGCTGTGGCAAGAAAACATTTCTCCAGTTTGGCTATATTTTGAGTTTTAATTCATTTCACTACAAGAAGTAAAGGAAACAATTTATGAACTTCTATTTTGACATGAAGGAAACGAAAAACAGAAAATAATCCAAATTCACTTTTAGCACACTAGGTCCATTAAGTTCACAGTATGAGATCACAATATAACAAGGTCCTCTGAACAGGCTATATAACATCAGTCTTACAAGAGGAGTCATTATCTTAATTTGTTATAATTTATTAGTTCAATATACTGTTAAATGCATATGTTAATATTCTCTTTACTGTTACAAATCCATAAGACTAATTACTATTATGTACGTGTCAAATAAATTACAAAACGTGCCCATACTGATTTTTACTGAAGTGTTAAACTTTTTATCCTACTTTCTCTGAAACATGCCAGTAGATATAATTGTTAAATATCTCTTGCTATCTATGTTTTTACATGATTTATGATTATTCAAAGTAAATATACATTTTAAGAACACTGTAAGAGGATGTATGTATTTGAGAGAGTGAAGACAGTAAATTCTACAACAAACACTGACAGAAAAAGTAAATATAAATCCTAACTGTAATATGTATATTGTGGATCTAACCACTCAGGTTCAGCCACAAACTGATACTTGGATAATAAAATGCTCTCAAATCCCCTCACAAAATTCTTACAAGTGAAACTGATAAAGGCACACACAGTTTACCTGCCTCTGCTGCTTCAACTGCTTTACAACTGGTGGTGGTAACATCTGGAACAGCAGTCGGTCACTTTTCCTTTTCTCACACTTCAGCTCTAAGGTTCGAGTAATCAGTGTTCCTGCAAATGTCTGTACAGAGACATCATTTTACTCCTTTGTAACACTCATTTATATTCTGCAATGCAGCTTCAAGCATTTTTAATTTCTACCTTGTCTCTTGAGGTATTTTTAGCACTTACTGCATTGTGAAGAACACACAAGCATACATATTTTAAATGCATCTGCAGTAATTAAATTCATAAGAATTTGAAAAAGAAAGTTTATACATGCATGCACACACACAAATACACACAGTTCTCAAGTTAAACTTATTACAAATTATATTCCTCCTATGTGTCTATACAATTTTGATGACTAATTAAACATATTTTGGCAACATCATTTCCTTACCTGAATGGTTTGAGTGGCATTTCTTACAAAAAAGATAATGACTGGAGAGATGGTTAGCACCATCACCAAAATTACTATAGCAACAGCTTGCTGATGACTTGCATGATTCATATCCCAGTACATCTTCTCACTAGAATGAACATACATAACTGAGGAAATCAAACAGTAAACACATAAAGATCCATTTAAGTTCAAGATAAATGTCTTCTAGAATGCTATGCCATATAATTTCATAGAACTTTGTAACTTTATTTTAGCTGAACCAATTTGCAGAGTGAATTAAAGTTATTTAATGCATGCACAATGATGCTGTGATAAAACATAATTGCTCTCCTACAGAGCGAGCCAGAAGAAATGTAGGGTTTCACACTGTTACATTTTTTGAAGTATTAATAAAAACTATTTTCTTATCAGATTTAAGGTTTAGAGTTGTCATGACAAAAAGGTGGATACTCTGCAGAGTTCTCACAGAATAAAACCTTTCTTGAAGGAATGGTGTTTCATACTTATAGCTAGAAGAGCATACTATCAAGAAAGTAATGTTATTGTTGCCTGTTTTAAATATGAGATTCATAGGGGTGTTTTAAGAATTTGCAGTGATTAGGTGAACCAAAAGAATGCAAGGAAACATAGAGCATGTGAATGACAGTGTTATTATAATCCCATAAAATTTGACTAAGAGACATCCAATTTAACTTGAAGTTCCTGAATTATTTTTAAGAAGCATTATGTGAAAAGATCTTTATCAACACACATAGACATATTTGTGCAAGGAATCCTTGCAACTGATTTTGAAATCACTACAACTTTTTTGGTGGACTCTAGATGTGTGTTAGTTTGTGTTTAATTATTGTTACACGGAAGTCAGAATGACACAAGTTGTAAAAGTAGAGAATATCACCACAGGACATTGGGGATTTTTATTGCTAAAATTAAAAACATAATGCAGTATTTATGGCAATATGAAAACAAAACAGATAGCAACTGTGAAACACAGCCTCCTGAGGAATGTCATAACAAGATTTTAAATTAAGCTTAGATATTCTTATCGCTTCTGATAATTTCACGTGTAAGTATGTAACATCAACAAAATTTTAAATTATACTACACTGTAAAGATGTCAGTCTGCCATCAACCTACTGAGTACTCTACCTAATCAAAGAGTGAATCTTCTCTTGATATCTTCTGAGTTCTGCAAGAAAGAGTGACACTGTTGCATGATATTCTTCAGCAATATGAAAATCAGATTTCCGTGGCTCATTGGAGTAGATTTCCAGACGTCTGAAATGTCAGAAAGATACAATGACTGACTACTTTTTCAATTTAAATTCAGAGAGGTTAATAAATATGAAAAAATTACATTGATAAACAATGAGTACATATACAGAAATGTCTACTACTTACAGAAAACAAAGTTAACTGTCACTTAAAGTGAGAAAAATGAAATAAAACAAGATTTCCATCAATGCCAGTTAGAAAAATGTATTTTCTAAAAATTACATTTTCTTCACTGCATTTTTTACTCAGACATCTGAGCTTTCACTTTATAGGCTGTACAGGCTACTAGAAAGTAGAGAGTAGTTTGTATCCACTGAAAATAACTCTCCCTCTTGCCACACAAATACTGGTAGTATGGTGGATAGCACATTTACTTTCTTAAAGTAAAAAATCTAATCTCCTCTAAAATCTGTATTATGGCACAAAAGAACAAGAAGCAGCTGATAAAACTGTACAAAACTTTGAAAGCCTCCTTACGCAGTAGGCACACGTTTTGAAGTTTCCACTCTTCTCAGAAGTTAGTGTCATTGGTCTGCATGTTCAATATACAGGGACTTACAAATCAGGAAATGTATTCACTAAGTTAAAACTGTAAAATTAAACACCTCTAGCCTTATGTCATTTCATAATGTTGAATCTGTATTATTACTAAAATTAAATCAAGGAGTAAAATTTGAAGTAGACTTAATTTAAAGATTCAAAAAAGGCCCCTTTTAACATGATAATATTAGAAAGAATACTTTCTTTCAGTGGATTGTAATTAAATACTCACCTTACTGTTATATTTTCAAATAGTGGAATGTTGGCCTGAAAACGCTGATATTCTTCGTATATGACAAGTGAGAAATGTTGAGTGGCCGTAAGGTAGTCCTGGGCAAGAGAGTCATAACGCACAAACATGGAAAAACTTTCAAGACCAAGTTGTCCTCTTCCAAAATAGTACAGACCATATACAGTTGCAATACTGAAATTCTCTACGGCACAAATGATATTTTTATATGCAATCAGAAACCTGTGAACAAGAGCAGTTTTACTCACACAATTTTATATCCAACAGAACTTCTAATATATACACTTTCTAAACACAGAATCTATTTTTAACACCCCAGAAACACTCGTAAATGACACTTTGAGAAATAAATAGAACTAATTCACTCACCTCCACACACCACTTACTGAAGTCTCACGAATTATTTCTGACAACTGGTCCAGGACATACTCATTTGCTATATTATACCAATTCATTTCACGTAACGCAGAGTCATCTGAACGGGTCAGGTTTTGCCTACAAAAATATAACAGCAATTAATAAAATACTGTAAAAAATAACAGTAAAGAGCAGAGAGAAACTTACGAATTCTAACACATGGGTCTACATCCAACTCACTGTTTCACCAAAATCAAAGAATATCATAATCGTAATATCGTAAAAAAACTATGTAATTTATATTTGATTAGAAAAAAAGTATTGTATTTGTGCTATGACATGTTCTACATCCTTGGCTTGGACCTATGAAAGATCTATGAAATATAAATAAATTATATTCTATTCTTATTGCAATAGCAAATTATTGTGGCACCTGGACTAATTAATATAAACAACAGTACTTGCTATTAACTATGGTGAAACAACACCTACACTTATATATTCTGCAGGATATTTATAAAATATTTCGCTTACATTTCTATCTATACGGTTGTAGTTTTGCATATATATATATATATATATATATACACACACATACTCGCACGAAGTAGCCCCGATTATTTAACCTAAACGGGACCGAAGGACGTTGGATAATCAAAGATGTCGGATAATACGGAAGACTTAAAAATAGACGAGGGTAAATATTAATATAAATTGAGTTTACAGCCCAAATTACGATACGAAGATATAATACAGCATCAAATGATGACACGTTGGATAAAACGGAATGTCGGATAACCGAAGGTCGGATAATCGGGACTCTGTTTTTTATTATAATCCCTGAATATGAACTGTAACTGACCAAACAGCATCCGATCATTAAAGTCTGTGTTTTTGTGTGTGTATAAGTAACTTTATTTTGGGAAATGCGTGTCATTGCTTATTTTCATAATATCAACTATGGTGTTACGGGTTCCTCCAGAAATCAGATTGAAACAACAAAATCATAAGGATTTCTGATAGCAAAACTAATTTTTGTTTGCATTTTAAGCAATTCATAACTTACGCCATTTCCAAAACTCCTTGGCGCTTAGCACTAGAAAAAAGATAGAATGAATTAACAAACAGCCTACCAGGCTGTATTTTTAAAACAAAACTGTAAGAAAGATTTGAGGTTCTCAAGTAGGCGAATGTTAATATATCTGTCTTCTGGGTTGTTGCACCGTCTAATCTGGTAGAAGTTTACCGAAGTTTCAGAGGCGCGTGTTGCCTCTATCATCAAAAACACCTCTAAAAGTCCGGTAAACTTCTACCAGATTAGACGGTGCAACAACCCTGAAGACTGCCATCTTCAAAACTAAAAGTATGTCGCTAAGGAAGAGAAGAGCAGAGTTACTAGATATTTGAAACTCCGTCGTCTATCCTGAAATAAGATTCGAATGCTTTCAGTACTGTAGCCCTCTGCTTCCTATATAATGCTTATTGATCCTATTAGTGGCTTAATTTACGGTCTCTTTTATGTCGTACAAAATGACGCCCTCTACGAGTCTTTCAGCAGGTTTCATGTTCTTATTTGTTTTCTTTGTGACTCGTAAAGAAAAGAATCCTGGTGAATCGGAACAGTTTTCAGTGTTCAAGCAGTACAGAGCAATCTGTTACGTCAAAGGGAGGGTAGACAAGAGAGTCCTACTTTGTCTTCTTGAGAATAAAGTCAAAGTGGGTAAATCGTTCATTGAAACACACGACATACTATTATTAAATTTATGAAATTAACTTATTCGAAATTATTGACATTGAATTACTTACTACCCTAGCCCATGCGGTGAAATGTGAGCAACACTGTTTGTTATGCTGGCGTGGAGTCTATTAACATCCATTAATACTGCAGTTTGAAACTGCTGCATTTTATTTCGCCAGTATCGCGTGTCATCGAGTCTAATGGTGACTGATAATGTTTATCTAAATAGGACTATACTTTGCTCTTAGCTAAGTGTTCATGACAGAAATTTATTTTACCTGAAATGGTCCATGTGACGCTGAAAATGTTTATCGCCTTTAAACACTTCGTTCCAGTTTCCCCAACATAATGATATCTTTTCGTTGGTTTCCTTAAATATTGAATTTAAACTGGTCCTGTGTAAAAAGAAGATACCATTTACACTGAATTATTTACAACTTTAATTGAAAAAATTAGATGGAAGAGACGACACGTCACAGTTTTCTCCCATATGAACTAGAATAAATTTTTCAGACATCGCAACCGTGATGTCACGTGGTATATATAGTAGGTGCTATAATACTGCCGGGTGTCACAACACAGAGGACCGCTGAGGAACAAACCCAGTTGCTTCTGGCAAGCGGGCGAATAGATTTTTCAATTTCTCTTCTGCATCGACATGTTTTAAAAGTCGAAGAGATAATTGACATTAAAACCTAACACAATGGAACGCAATCCAACAGTGGCACACGCCTCGCCTTTTGCAATATTAGAAAATTTATTACAGTATCCAAAAACTCCCGCCAATGTACCCTATACTGAACTAACACATTACATTTCACACCTTCGCATCCGTATGCTTTAAAATACATTTGAATATTATCCTTTCATCTTTCAAGTCTACATACTCCAATCAGTCTATTCCCTTCGTATTTTCTGGTTTTATTCATTACCTGATGAGACATGAGCTATAAAAGAACATCTATAAGAAAATACACTGAAAGGTTGAAGATTTTCCGACTGAAATTCTTGTTGTCTCCATGCGTGCCATATGTCTCGGCCATCTTACCTTGCATTTGGTATTTCTAATAATATCTGACATAGAATACAAATTATAAAGTTTTTCAATAATATAAATATCTATATCTTCATATTAAGGATAAAAGAATTGCATACAAATCAATAATATAACAAAATTTGTAGGATTTGAACAGGATTTCCCACTAAGGAGGGTTGAATAAAAAATTTCGAAAGTTCCATCCACTCCTGTCTTCAGACGATAGGTTACTATTAAACTGAGAGTCTGTTTCATTTATGAATTTTCATTTCTTGTTGCATCGGCTGTAATAGAACATACGCCCTTTTCTGTATACCTACTAATTCCTTGTCATTCTGGGGTGGCTAGAGTCGAACCGGGTACTTTTTGACAACTGATTAAGTACACTGTGCAATAGGTTAACGATATCTGTGTGTTAGGATATTTAATTATTTTTCCTAAATCTACGGGTTGGGTCCCTGCAGCTGAAACAACAAATGATATCCAAATTAAGGATTATCAAAATAATGTCAATAAATAACAAGGGAACATTAGATTGCAGTCTTCTTGGTTGTTGCGCTTTGTAGTCTGATAAATTTGGTGAAAATCTACCAGACTACACCGCGCAACAACCCAGAAGACTGCAATCTTCAGACTCACCGTTGTGAAAACCTCAAATCCTACAAAGGGAACATTATACTCCGAAACGTCATTCATATCAAATCTGCTGACGACAGTGGACCATGTCTATCAAGATCATGTAATGAAATGGTCATTGTAACAATCATCTAGAGACACAAAAGACGGTATTTGATAATAACTGGGTCGAAAAACGTAGTAAGCACTAGGTACAGGCGTACCTGTTCCCGTCGGTGAAGATGTAGTATGCAACTTGGCCTCGTTCGAATTGAAGGGTTGTCAGTAATTCAACTACTTCAGCTGTTAGCTTAATCTGAAAGAAAAGCCACGCATGACGCATTACGAAATGACAGTAACCAATTGATGGTGTATGCTGTCAAATATCTGTCCTTCTTCTCAATAAAACCAGCGTCTTCTACTGTCATCATTGCAGGCCTAAAATATCCGAACATCACAACAAGTATTTTAATCACCGTTGAAATTTGCTTAGTTTATATTCTTAACCATAACACATGCATTAGAATATGCGCAAATACTTTAATTATTTGTCCATGGAAAAGACCCGTCGAAATTTAGTGTCGTATTATTTATTTTGTATCTTATCTTCTTTATTTATACTTCTAGAAGCTGTAAAATGTCTAATGTACTTGAAAAAACATTCTCCATTCAAGCTACACGTCCGGCCCATAAGAATCTTATTCATTTCTGTACTTTACGTAATTATATTAGGTTACCGCAGGCCTGCTTGTACAAATCACGAAACTTTGATTCGTGTATCTCGTGCGTACTTACTTCATCTGACTTCATGGGGCAGAGTCCTTCTTGAGAAGGTAATAGTGCTCTCAGCTAGTCAAGAAATTCCTAGCCTTTCCTCGAACCCGAAGTTCTACTACCGTGTTCACAAGAGCCAGTCACTGGACCTTATACTGAGTCAGATTAATCCTTTCACAACTTTCAAACCTATTTTAATATTATCTTACTATTATTTAACCTGTCATGGCACTTTGTTACAAAAGGAGTGCACACACAGTACGTCCGAAAGACTTGATAAATTCTGTTATTTGGTTTATGCCTCAATGTTCAGCTTCGGCAAAACCAGAGTTGTAAATTTTCGAGTTTATCAAGTTTATATTTACTTTGGATACTTCGCAATGCTGAGAGGGAGAAATTCACCTGTTTGTTGATGGCCATGGCGTCTCTATTGGCAAGAGCGACGCTCACCATGGTGCAGCAGTTCTGTACGATTAGCGCCGCGATGGGAATGAAAGGAAGGATGATCATCTGAAACAGGTAAAACCTCTTGCCGGTCGTTGAACTCGGGTCCACGCGGAAACAGCCAACTTTCAAAGCGACCGTAGCGGACCCTTCTATTGTACATTCCGATGACGCTGAATGGCGGCTTGGAGTCTGGTGTTGTATATCTGTATTTGTTAGTGGGGTCATTACAACACCTGGAACAGAGTGAAGGCCGAAATACGTTGTTAGCAGCGATTTCTTTCACAGCTGTGTTGTGATGCGAAGACTGTGCTGAACCATCGAGTTCCTCAAAGACGGCAAACTTATTGAGTATCCCAGAGATTATTAGGTATAAAAAAAGATTCTACTTCATAGAGAACATGTTTCTTGTGGGCTATAAGTTTTGATTTCACCGACTTATTAATCAATATATTTAAATTTTTTATTTCGTTATAAGATTAAGGCAGGGACAGATGTCTCGTTATCACGGTGGGACAAATGTTTAAACATATCTGCATTTTGTGGAAATGTGATGTGTAGGCCTACCGAAGTGTTCTTATGTATTATAAATGCATCTATATAAGATTAAAACACTTTATACAGAAGCACTTGTTATCTTATTTTCTGTAAACCTTAGTATCTCATGTTACTAAATCCAATTATTTGCCTTTGCATCTAGTTTCTGATTCCTTTTAATATATAATTATGTTATTTTAGTATAGAGTATGATTACTATAAACTGATATTTTACATGTTTACAACAGGTGTTCTCTCTCCGGAAAGGACGCGTACTCTTACGTACGTCTATTACTGGGTGAGCTGATTCGTTTCAAGTCGAACGAACACGGTTTGATTATGCAAAAAATAGGGACCAGAACGAGCAAAGTACATAAAACTACGGGCTTCTGATTTTGAAGAAGAAAACCACGATAGGCAGACTGATTTTTAATCACTGAAGTGGAGGAAGATCGAATATTTAATTGGATTATGGTATTTACGAGCAGATCAAATAATGCAGCAGGAAAAGTATGTAATCTTACAGCCTCTGTGCATAAACATGATTTCACATACTCATGGAGAGATGAAGAAATACGTAAAAAGTTTTGATTGGTAAGCCTAAAGGGAAGAGCAACCCGGAAGATCTAAGGCTAGATGGAAATGTAGTATTGAAATGGAAAAATTTGGTAGGATTTATAAATAGCTCTTTCATAATGAGAGCACTCAAACCGTTTAAGAGTGTGTTCTGCAAAGAAAAGGAAGGAAAAAGATGCATTTCGGGATCACAGAAGATCGCTATTTAATCCAGCCCAGAGCCAGTTGAATCTGGTTATAAACGACATATTTTATTTCTCCAATACAATTTTAATATTATCTTCCCATTTATACTTAGTTCTCTCTATTGGTATCTTCCATTGAGTTATTCAGGTTAAACTTTTATGTACATTTTAAAACTTTCTGTTTCAAGCTACTTGCCCTGCATATTTAATCTTCCTTAAATTAATTAATGACGTAAGATATCGGCAAGCAAAAACCAAAACATAATAATATATATATATATATATATATCCTGAATAAACAACAGAGGCGTAAACAGGCTTTGATCTAATACAGAACCTAAGATACACAGACAGTCAAGGGAAGAGAATGAAAAGGTTGAAGTGCGAACAAGAGCCGACAACTTAACACACCAAGAAAACATTTAATCACCATGATCATGGAAGTGATGTCAAGAATCAATAAATAATTCCAGGTCTTAAACGGAGTCGGCACGGGTTATAGAGGATTGACAAAATCCATGTCTTAACCTCTTGAGAAAGAAATAACTCTGCTTTTGCCAATAGTCTCATTAACAGTGTACTAACCTTGTGCAGAATCAATATCAGATTGTAGTAGACTGTAATTATTAGGAGATTTAATCGTACGGGAGATTTTTTATCAGCAAAAAGAACAAAATCATAACAATAATAATAAATACCTTAGCATTATGGTGCGCATGACTTGACTTCTAGACCGCGATTCGCCACTGACCTGAAATAAATGGATGGATGGATAGATGGACTACTGATTTTTGATTTACTAACTTCGATTCATCAAAAGTTCATTATGTTAGTGGTGTACATTGAAATCTGGGATGAAGTGTGGAGTGAATGGCAAGTGAATAGGGAACCAAATAAATCAATTTATAGAAAAAATTAACATGACTAAATCCATAAACAAAAGGCGAACCATCAGTTGTAAATGCACGGATAATCAGAACATTGTACACCCCAGATTTAGGTGTGCACGTGACTCGACTGCTTTTTTAATTCTTTAGTAAACAAAGATACGTTTGGTCAGTGGCTAAGTACAGAATCTGGAATAAATGTAAACTTTAAATCGATTAAAATAAATGAATAAATTACTAATAAGAAGGAGACTTGGAGATACCATGGAAAGTGATTGGTCAGATTCACACTCCATAAGAGCCCCAGGTAGACTGGACATGACTGCGAAGAAAAATAATTATCCCGTCGAAAACCAAACTCCAGTCTACATTCTACAGCATATCACATAGTGACTGAGCTGTCCTGATTCAAGAATGAATAATTTAACGAAAACAATATTTCATTAATTAAATTAAAAAATAAATTAACTATTTAATAAGATTTATGAGTAATTTCAAAGTCATTATTAACCAATGAAGCACATCAATATTCTTTTAAACATAAGTGAAGGAGAAGAAGTTCGTCCTACCTGTGGTCGGAGAGCCGAAGCGGCAAGTGTCTCCGTATTGCACATGTGCACATGTGTTCACCTCCACGCGGTGACGACTAATAAAAGAGAACGTAACTGCGTTCCTTCATATTCCGCCTGGACCATGCGCTATCACAGAATGCTATCAAACCACCTGTGGAGTAAGCAGAGGAACTACTGTGTTGAGAATAGGGAGTTCAAGCCTCGGAGGGTTGACGTAAAAGGTCACACAGTTCGTTATAATGGTTAGTGCACAAATCCATACTCATGACATAGATGAGTATTGACTAAAAGTCCTTTGGGATTCTTCTTGGAATTCTTCCGCTAAATTGGCAATGTATTCCAACACTATGTGCATCGTCCTCTTATTAACATTTTTAATCTTAGAATACTTCGTTCTGCACAGAGCCAAAGGATACTTTCAAGTAGCCCAAGATCGATATTTTTCAAAACACGTAGACATGAAAACTGACGTTGTTTAGAAATTTTACGAACACAGGTAGATGGCTTGTTTGGATCGATAGTTGTAGTAATTAAGAGACATTACGAGGTTAGAAGCAGGAAGCAATCCCTAATAGACAATATATAATTTTGGAAGAACAAGAGAACCTGCTTGGGCTTCAAGGCGTCGAGGTCATTTGGAATGAAAATAGGAATAAACTCGTATTTTCGTCGTGTTTAAATTAATTAACTTTCAGATCTGGTCCACTTCAGGAGACAGGGGAGACGAAGATGTTTAGGGAAATTTAAGTTAAAATCATCGTAACTTGTTTCTATAAAATTCCATTTTAATCCCATGACGAAAACCAACACGTCACACTTGCCAAATAAGAGTATTACTGTGTTCTTGAAGATTAATCATTATTTTTAACAGTAAATTTGAAGAAACTAAAATAGATGTGGAAATAATTTAATTTCATGATAGATTATATGGCACATCCTCCTTTAAGGAAACATAAGACTAGCTCCTGGTAAACTTAATTCTCCAGGAAACATCCTACGCCAATAAGAAGCTGCAATATTGCTATTAACCGAAGCTCAAATAAACCACGAGAAGAGATGTCTTCAAGATAGTCATGTTACTTCCTTCAGCCAATATGCCGTTTCGTAGATACGGTCCTTAGAATGCCGTGTCATATTTGTATCTTATTAGGTCTAACGGATGTTCGTAATATATACATTAATATCTTTATTTGAAGCTATTCGAGACGCAGTTGTTCTATCTGGCATTCAAATATTCACTACTTGCTCTTGAAATTAACAGCATCGAACAACTTTAACGCAAATGTAAATTGGTCATAAAAGATAAGATAGCAGATAAAGTTATGAAGTCTCAGGGCGCTTGCTAAGTTTTTGATAACACTTTAATTTTACTCTAACCTCATTACCATACCATTTTATATAATTCAGATTCTCATATTGTCCCTCATATTAGTGAACAGGTCATTGTGAAATAACGAATCTAAACTACAGTCTATATCACGAGGAAAGTTTTGTCTGTAATTATTTACAGTGTGATCTTCAACTGCTTAACTTCGCGCCCACCTAGAAATATCACACAATCCTTCCGGGCATCGGAGCAGAAATTGAAAGAAATTGACTGAAAGATCGAGTATTAAATATGGCAGTTACGTACGTTAAGAGAATGCTGAGGCAAAGCTTCGCATTTTGGACATTACTGAACTTTCTGCAGTCCTTCAAAGCACAGAATTTTCGTGAGGCGGAAGGGGCGAAGGCTTAATTAAATGTGAAGACGGCTGTCATCTGGGAACGGAAAGTTGAAATTATCCTGGAGAGGAGAATCGAACCGAAGAAAATATTAACAGCAGTAGAACAAATTATGAGTAATTTTAAATAAATGTTTGGGAATAATGCTATTTGTAATATCACAAAATAGACAAATATTATTCTATTATTCTGTACTCAAGTTTGCTTTAAACGTACGCTGAATGAAAGTTTATTTTCAGGTGTAGGAACAGTCCCATTTCTCTTCAGTAAAGACTTCAATTTGACACTGATTCTCTTTGCATTAGATTATTATTCTACAAAGGATGACGTAATTTCCTTAAATAATGTTACACCTTGGGCCTCAGTAATTGGCAATTAGTCTGTCTCTGGAAATAGAAAATGGAGTCTTTATTATTCTTCTACATTATAGAGAACAGTACCTTTGCAGAGTCCTTGCTTTGTCATATGAGTAGGAATCGCTTGGTCTGTAATAAATGCACATACAATTCTAAGACCTGCTTTAAGCTGCAACTCTTGTTATACGTTAATTGCATAACGTCCACGAAATTAATGCATATAAGGCTAAAATTATCTGTCTGCTTGCGCATGCGTCTGTCCACATATTTCAACTCGAGAATCGTTGGACAGGTTTTAAAGAAATTTACTGTAGACCTTTTCCAGTAGAGGCTACCTCAGACTTGTACGTTTTAGCTTCCTATAATCGGCAATGCCATCGTGGTGGGAGCACGAATTTCTAAGGTGTAAGAAACACTTCTGGCATTAATATAGTCATACGTGATGTGTGATAGTGAAGAATAAAATATGCATTTTCTGTTTAGGTAATGCAGAACAATGACATCGCTGCTGCTTGAAACAATGGCGAATCCCAGGTAGAGCAAGATTCGATCACATGACTATTTACGCAATTCGCATTGCAATTATGTTGTGGATTCGCTTTACTTAGAAAAGGCTCTAAGAACACACGATCTATAAAGCTGGAAATTAAAGTTAAGATGACGGTCACCTTATTTTATGAATAGGCCTACTTTTTCTTTGCAATTAATAGTTTACGATACATTTCGATATACATTGCAGACTATGTATTGTAAGTGTTAAATAATTTACACTACATAAACAAGGTCCTGAGGTCCTCTGTCTGAAAGTTAGCTGTTTATCAACAATTCTTTTTCGATAAACGAATTAATCAAGATAAATATACATTTAATTCAGCCTGATTCATGAAAAGATATTTCGGCTCTAATGTACATCTAAGTAGACTAATCAATATCAATTCAATTTCTCTCACTTTATGAATCTAGTTGGTGGTCATTTAACTCAGCGCTGTGTATGTTATGACATTTCAGATGACGTAATTACATTACATGTCAGTAAGTCTGTTACAAATTCAGTTAATATTGAGCAGGGTTTACGAAGTTGTCAAGGGACAACTTCGTAACAAAGATGGGGTATATGAGGCTTTTTCAACCTTGATCAAAGGTTGGAGACCTCGGATAATGTGAATGGATGGACGGTTACATGACTTGCAGTGCCTTGGGGATGTCGCCCAGCCAAGAACTGGAGTGGGGACTTTTTGTGCCACGTGCGGATATCATGCAGACCTTCAACATATCTTTATGTCGGGGGTGGAGGTGGGTATTACCAACAAAGAGATATAACTTCCGGCAATCTAACACAGAAATATTAGAGAAGCCTGCGGTCTGCTCATATTAAATTGTAGTATAACATTTTTTTATAGTCTTCGCCAAATTTTATGATAAGAGCAATTCGAAGATAATATACGGTAATTATTCTAAAGGTGTATTTGAGATATACCTACTTCTTAGCACGTTTTACACTTTTTAGAACGACATATTGAAAAGTTTTGTTAATATTACATGCTACTACACGATATGAAGGATTTGAAGACTAAAAGTTTTCATTAATTTTGATATGATCACTTTCAAAATTTTTAATGTGCTGAGTGAAATTATTTGACATAACGGAAGTGAACTAATAGCGGAATGAAAAAAAAATCACATTACGAAGAGTTTCTTAAGTTGTAGTTTTGAGCTAGCATTACTAGAAAGACTCAATACAGACCTAGTAGAGAGGCCGGACATGCAATAGCTAGACTAAATTTTGGTTGCACAACCTCGAAAGAAGAGGTTACTCTCGAAACGTGTAGGTAGATCTTAGAAAAATGTTTGTGAATAACGTGAATTGCATTGACTGTACAAGATTAAACACTGATGGAGACTAAATGCAATGACGTCTTCTCGGACCATCAACAGTGGCAACTAGAATAGAACGAATTTCCAAGCTTTAAAAATCAAATCCATTCTACGACTGACATCCTCAGATTTCATTGGGTTGAACTGACTCATATTATGGGAAGTTGGTAGGCTTCCTTATTTGATTGAATGAAAACTGATCTACTAAGTTAACTACTTGTTTTTTGGTAACTTCATTGTCTGAAGAATAAGTATTTGATGAAAGTGGCTTATTTTAAATCCATTCAACAATTCGTAAAGCCTTTTCGTCTCGATCAGAAACAATTGTAAGTTTATGTGTTAGAAAAAAATTTTGAGGACTATTTTTAGCTGCCATTTACCCCAACAGTACTCGTATGAATCTTGCAAATCAATTTGAAACCCGTTTCGAACACTGCATACAGCAATATGCCACTTGAGCAGCAAGAGTGTCATTAAACAAAATGACTCAAGAAATTTCAGGCTTCGGAAATCCATTGCTCATGACGAACTATGTCGAAAGTTTGTAATAAAGCACAGGTATTTCTTCTTAGTATTCTAATACCGTTTAAATTCATCGCGAAAGTGCGACCAGTTCTGGAATAATCTGATGCCTTCTGTACTTGTGTTACATAAATCTTTTCAATTTCACAAATGGCTTCGTATTATCAGGAAAGCTCTTGAAGTAGAGTCCCGAGTTGTGTAAGAAAAGTAAAGTTCTGTCTTTTAAAACTGAGTTATGACAATGAATCATAAACGCTTGCCGGTATGTCGTAACTAGCAACAGACCTAAACCTGTGCAGATGCTGTAACATGCATGCACGATGAAGCCCTCCTGAGAAACCTTTGCGTGATTAGAGAATGACGGCACCGAGATATACAAAGTGCACATTATCATTACTTCACTATGTCCACATTTAATTTCAATATGTCGACGTCATGTAGGAGGCATCAGGGCAATTTAGCAATAATGGTAATTTGGCACTATTTTATATGTTGTTTTGAGTGATTTTGTTTCGGCGCGTTGCAGGCCACATCTTGGAATCTGGATGTAAACTACTTTCTTGTACTCTCGTCTGATTTTCCACGTTCCACGTGTCTAATGTCAATTAGAAGTTCTTATTTACACGTACACGATATTTTTTTAGAAACATGAGAATCCTAAGAGTTACGCTGAACGAAATTTTGAATCGGTGACGGACGCAAAAATCCATTTTGCGCATCTGGAAAGAAAAAATGTAAACAGTGATTAACGCCCTGTTTAAAGTGAATAACAAATACATACTTTTTCAGAGGGTGGATTTTGTAGACGGTACTTCAACCTACTGTTGTAGATAGGTTGAGTGGCTTGTTATGAGTAAGAGCTTATCGATCGTATGTTGGAGAATAGTGTTGCATATTCAATGAATTTTCGGTCAAAATACCCATCTACTTCTCAAAGATATAACGTAATGTGAAATATACACTAAACGTGTACACGTAGAAGTGTTTTTAGAATAAACAATGTAAGAGCTTATCGGCCTTATCTCTTGTCTTAGTGGCATAAATATCCGAAAGAAAGCTATTGAATGATTTGATAAAATTTGACAGCTATCACGGTTCTCCTATGTACTTACATTCTGTGTTCGATAATGCAAATTATTACTTGCATGCAGCCGTGAAATATGAGTTAGGATGGCTATGAAACTAAATGGTCATGACCTAAATATGATCTGAGATTCTTAAGGCGGTGAATATGAAGATGCCTGTCTTCTGGGTTGTAGCGCCGTTTCAGGGGTCCTTGTAGCCTGCCTCTATCATTAGGGTGATGGAGGTAGCAAGGACGTATGAAACGTTTGTAAACTTGTACCAGACTACAAGCAGCTGCAACCCAGAAGACAGCCAATTTGGTCGAAATCTTCTTTTTTGAAGTAATACAAGTAATATTTCACGTTTTGCATGGAAGGACTGAGGTAAATCACGAAAACCATCAGGATAGCTGGCCCTCAGACTAAGAATCAGACCTGGGACATCCTGATTCACAGTCACATGTAGTATCTGAAAAAGTTTTAGGCGAATGTTTTTTGAAAATGACTTGATTAAGAATGTACATAAAAAGAGCAGTTCAGTGGCATGTAGAAAACATATGAATTATTACAAACACTGTGCATAATTATTTAGTGCAATCTGAATAAATGTAATTTATTTGCCTATTATCTAGGACAAATAGGAGCTAAAACACTTTTGAGATGATTCAGGGTACAAGTGCTAATGTTTACAATTCATTCGTTAATATTTATTTCCATAACTTTCATATATTACAATTTATGTTTTACTGTTATATGCATATAAATGAAGAAACAAAATATACATTTATAATTATATACATATACATATGTAGACACACACGCATCACTTGAAAGCAACATAAAGACAAAACTGTCATGACCATCCAGAATCTTAAATAATTTTTGTCATCTGCAATGCACAGATAATGTTCTGTAATGTGCATGTAAAAAAAATGGATCTGTATGCTGTAACTTGGACACAAATTACTACGTTATCTTACGTAATTAGTGTAACATATACAAATATATACACTTCTCTCATTTAGCAACATTAACAAAGGAAAGCAATTCTGAAAGCTTTATGGACAAACCACATAGTTCAAATACAACTCTAAAATATATGATTACATTTGTTTTAAAATCACATTGAAAATATATTTCATTAGCAATATATGTTATTGTACATTAAACAATTTTATACACACATTTAACTGGCTATAAATGATAACACGGCGGAAAATTATTCAAGTTCTCACTTAAGCAACCAGAACTTTTATCATAAAATATTATATTAAATTCAATTATGGCCTCTCATTGTGTCATATTTAGAAACAAGTTTTTACTCTGTAACAATTCAGTTATTAGGGTGAGGTATCTGTTTTGGGAAGCAGTGGATCTAAATGCATCAAATGTAGTAAGTACATTTCACCAATATTTTGTAGTTTCATCAATAAATATATTCAGCAGTATAAAAATATGTTTATTTTAAACTTTCCCAATAAGGTAAATTATAAAATAATTACGATAAAATATTAGGTGGCACAGTTTGACATCACTGTTTTGCAGTGGCAGTGATGCAATTTATAATACATATATTCCAAAATAAGTTTAATATATAGAATAATCAGTCACTTGCACATTTTCCTCAAGTTCTTCTCCAGAGAGATAGCTCAACTTCAAACTGACCTTGCAAGTTTTGCACACAGCATCATCAAATAAATATACAAAAGCCAGGAATCTCTCAATGTCTTCACTGCTATGAAAACATCAAATTTCATACAATGTTTCATGATTATTAGTTAGTTTCTTACTCTACAAAGAAAAATTATGTATTTTATGATAAATTTGTACATGTACCTGGAGTTTGTGACACATACCATGAAGGTATTCCTAGTTCCACAGTTCAGTAATTAAGAATGACAACCTATGATGGAACCTGAAATGATTCTTTTCTGTCAGGTGACAAAGGTGCACTTTCCAATGCAGATGAACTGCACAAAACTTTAACATTTGTGTTCAGTGCCACAGGTTTATTGTTTGACGCAAGTTCATTGGTCACTGTATGACCAATGGGATGGGGAACTAGCGACAAATTTCCTGATGTTTCAGAGACTGCTACACTGGGAAGCAAGCTGTATCATATGTAGTATTCTTCACGGAGCCTTCTAATAAACATAGGTTGGTCATCATCAAACAGTGCAGGAACATCAAAATCTGCAGATCTGGTGATGCCTCCATCTTTGCATGCCAGCCAGTATGTGTCCATCAGACCTTTGCCCTGCAACACAAATCTTGTCTAAATTGAGAACAATGTAATAATTTTAATGTACGTAGTTGGTATGTCAAGGTGGGTTAGGTGTCAGGTACTACCTGTGACAGAAAAAATATCCATTATCAAATAATGGTCACAGGTGAGATGCTCCATAATCTTGAAAGAACACTGAAACAACTCATTTGTCTTGTTATATTGATGTCGTCTAAGATTACAAATACTGTCATAGTTAGAGTTGAGTTTTAAGTGAAATAACACTGTATGAAGTCAGCTGTATGGGCAACATGATTTTATAAACTGTTACAGATGAGATTGCCTATGAACTTTGGCCCTTGGACTGGAACCAACTGCAAATACTTTACCGAGATACAAGAAGGTAAGCAGTATCAAAACAAACATTCAATCCCATCTGCAGTAACTTCTGCATTTGAAGAGTCAAAATCCAAATTAATGTTCTTGATATAGAAAAGGCAGCTTGTTAAGGAGATAAGCCATGTTGATCGTTGAAGGTGTTCAAATGTCTCAACAAACACCTCTGCTGGCATCTTCAGCAGTTGTTACATTGTTATTGTTGTGTTTAAAAATAATTGAATATACAAAAATTGACAGATTAAACTAGGGGTTTGATGTAATGTATAGTTCTCATGGCAGTAAGTATGAAGATGGCTGTCTCCTGGTCATATTGTCATGTAGTCTGATAGAAATATACTGACATTTGGGAGGCAGCAAGAATGTCTGACATGTTGGTAACTTCTATCAGACTGCTGGTGCTACAACCCAGAACACTGCCATCTTAATGTATAGTTATCTCTACAGATGAACCTAGGATAGGAAACATAGGGAAGTTATCTTCAGTTTTATCTGGCAGGGTTGAAGTACTGGACACTGAGTCCCAATGCTGCAGTTAGAAAATCCTAAACTTTTACACCAAAACCGAAGTACCAGTGGAGTACATTTAATTTAATATTGTAATATTTTTGTTTGCTTCTGTAAACTCAAGACAAAAGAGTGTAGTCTAATGCAACTTGAGTGTATGATAACTATATAATTATGCCTATATTAACCTCTTCTACAGTTTATTACAGACAGGGATGTGGCGTGAAATTTGATTAAATATAAAGCATACCTTTACATCAACAAGGCCTCGATGTTCAGTCCGAAAACCACCCACTGCATCCAAAGCGTGTTTCACTTCTGCACTTATGTGAATCCTCAAGGCTGCACACATAGGCAGGCAAGTGGCAACACAAACACTGTGATGCATATAATAGGTCAAGATACTGACATACAGCTTAAGAGATTGTGCGCAGTAAGTAACATAAAGGATGAGCACAACTAAAGACGAAAGGAACAACATTTTCTCCTCAAAAGTAAATATTAAGGTTTTCCAGTTTTTCATAATTTTTATTGCAGTATATCCAAATACTGGTATCACTTATTTAACTTTTGCATTCTGCCTTTAAAATGCCATGAGAGATAAAGTTTTCCTATATGTAAAGTGTGTATGCTATGATTAAAGGTTAGCAGGAATAATAAACAATGATATGAAT